TAAAAGCCGCAGGGTTCAAAGCTTGTGCAAAAAGTAGCGGCTTATAGCCCAACAATTACGGTACTGTTGCAACTTTAACTATTCCAGCTGCGCTCTGTCCATGCTCTGTCTGAAAACCTCTGTTTTAGTCCCCCACTGACTTCTGATCTGTATTCTCAACACAACAATAGCAGTGGGAGAATGCAGGTCGCGCTAATACTAATCCCTCTTAATCTGTAACATCTAGCACACACACGCCAGCATACACAAATACATACACACTCAAAAACATAAGCAGCAAACCCATATACAGATAGGCAAACTGTTTCCTGCACATATGGAATTTGTAATGTGCCGAACAACTTGAGATTGGCAATTTGGTATTTAACTGTCACTCCTGTTTTAGATTTTATACTGTTAAATAAAAATGCAAAAAAACAAAACATGATTTGAACATATTTTTTGATATAATTATGCTTATTTAATGCAAAAATTAGATATGCTGCATTCTAAAATTAGTAAACACACTGTGATTACTCAGAAAAGCTACTTCAGTTGGGCAGTTACGGCCCCTGTTGCCTTATTTAAATGGATTTTTTTTTAAAAAGAAAACATCTTTGACAGTTGCTGGAAAACAAAACAGCATTTGTCTTCTGCCAGAATGTCCCAGAGAAGAAGAACGTTAGTGTTAAAAAAAAAAAGAGAGAGACTCAAAGGGGAGATATTTAGTCTTTTTTTCTCAACTATTCAATGAGAAACTGACAGAACCTGACAAGAAGAAGGAGAATCTGACAGCCAGCTACAAACAAGTGATGGGCAGCAATCCTAGCTGTCCTTCAGCTTAATCCACGTAATCCGTGCCTGCCAGAGTTCTGACTAAATCCAAGTGGGGCCAGTGATTCAGGGCAGAATAGTAAATATTTACCTCTGTTTACTAAATAAAACAGCTGTCTAGAAACATAGTATGAATATTAAGAAGAGTATGGAGCAGTACAGTCGCTTCTTCTTGAGTCAGTTCTTATCGGCTGAGCTGAGCTGCAGGGCATCTTCACAGTGTCATTAGGATGTAGCTTCTTTATTATGCTACTTACATCATTAAAGTTAGTGAAAGATGGATGGTGAAATATTGACTGCATATACATATATAGGAACACTCTCATCATGGTTTTCAGCAGAGTGATTTCATGCCTGGAGAAAGCATTTAAACAAGAATGAGCTCCACCTGTTGCACCTGCACCTGTTATTGAACATTCCCTCTTTATGCGCAGGCCGTGTTCCTCCGAACATTTCCGGCAATTTACGGCGAGCTGTTGAAGATCTTCACGGTGCGCGAGGTGGCCGGTTTCGTCAGGGAGACTCTGGGCAGCCTGCCTACCACCGTCCATCCTGACTGCCCCCTGGAGGCCGTCAAACTGCAGTGCATTGCCAAGACTGTGGAAAGCCAGCTTTACATAAACCCAGGTAAATACTAGTAGGACAAAAAGCATTTATTCACAGCATTTGGAACGTGATCACAACTCTTTAGCTCTGCAGTCCCATTTGAGAACACACCTTAGCTAATTGTTACCCTGCAGTGAGCCAAATTCCAAGTTATTAAACTGTTCTTAATAAAGGGTTTACACTGAAGCGAATTACTGTGTCAGTTTTTCATTTGCAACACGCTCCCAAAGGCTGCATGTAGCAGGGAAAAAACATCCCTCATGCAAATCATATGAATGTCATACAAGATTTTCATTAGTTCCAGTCAATAATGTTTCAACTGAGCATGAAAGCAGAGCAAGACATTATGGCCCCGCGGAGAAATGAGTGTAGAAATTTTTCTTAGTTGTTCCCGTTCTGTTATTTCTACTTCATTAAGTCTTTGATGTGTTTGTGCTGTAGATTCACGATGCATCCTGTTGCCGGTGGTGCTTCGAGTGCTACAGGCCCACATGCAGGAGCAGAGAGACCTGGTCATGTGTGCCCAGATCCTCTCCAGCATGCTTTCTCTAATCAAGAAGGAGGAAAATGGCACTGCGGTGAGTATTACGCTCATAACTGAGAGCCATTAGTCAGGCCCCCCTGCTTCCTTAAAGAAACACTGCAGTGTTTTGGGAAATACACTGGCTTTCTTACTGATGAGGAAACTGAGACAGCTGGTTAACTGAGCTTAGACTAGAAAGCTCAGGTAATTAAATCCATCTACAGCATATTTCAAGCTCAAAACCCAAATTTGTGTAATCTCTTAAAAGCTTATAGCTGTCTTTAGAATTTCTTTCTTTTTGTTTTATTGATTAATAAAAAACTGTTTCAGGTTTTTATTAAATGTTAGTGCCAGAAAAAAATCCCTGGCCTGGCCTGACTAGAGCCTTTGCTTTTAGTTTTTTTAAAATTTGGCCAGTCAACTCCTTGCACTTACATCCCTGGATGCTGGAGGTCCCACCGGCCATTTGCGCCTGTCTGCATCCCACTATTTCAGTAGACTTCAGTAATGCATAGAGCAAACGTCCAATTAAACTCAGAGATCGAACAGTGGCTTTCTGTGTAAGATCGCTCCTTCCGAGCCTAATGATGGCTCCATTTGCCACATTGGGATCCTTGTGATTTCATCCTCTTTCTCAAATTTAAATTCAAGATGAAAGGTTGCCTTTTTCTTAGAGTGAAGGAGATCCCATGAGCTCAGGGGGAGGAACTTAAAGGTGATATCTGCCAGTTTGTTGCTTTTGATGGATTGGGTCACACCTCAAAGACGCACAACAGTCTTATTCTTCTCACCTGACTTTGCAGTCATTGCAGTCATTCATCAAATCATTGTGCTGTTGCATAAAGATCTGGTTACGCTTTAAAATGTGGTGTACAACTAAAGGTGTAATTCCTACAACTAAGGGCTGATTCAATGGAAATTAAATGGAATTTTAATTACTTGAAATTACAATGAAATTATATTTGCCTACAAATAATAACAATTTCATGGTAATTTTGAAGACAAACAAGAAAAAATAAAATACCATCATAATTTGCAGACCTGTGCTTTTCCATGAAAATTATGAAGAAGTTACGTAATAATGACGACTATTTATACAGTGCTTGAAATTACTTGCGGTATAACTTTTATTTCCTCTCGTTTAAAATACCTGAAGTTATGTGTTACTTAAAATGACTTACAGACTACCGAAATGTTCTTGCAGTATACCAAGTTCTTTGTTTCCTGTAAAAATCTGACTTGTCACCCCCTTATTCTAGTGCATACACTGTTAAGTACTTGTAGGTAACTTTAAAGACATTGTAATTTCAATAAAATACACCATTTAATCACTCGGGAATTACAGCCTTAGTTGCATGTCTTATTATAAAGTGTTAGCAAATATCCCTGACTCCTCCAAGTCATAGAATAATAACTTTTTGAAATCATAAACAATATGGTGTAATCGCTTCATAGAAACTTGTGCAGTTGCAATCAATTCCTGATGTTTGTCAAGAATCTGCATGACAGTATCCCTCCCATTATATCTCCCAAAATAATTAAAGAAAGTCAACACCACAGGAATCAGTCCTACACCAGTTTTGTTGCCAGTACACTGCAATAGCAGATTGCTTTGTTGCGTGTTTATGGTCAATTAGTCTTGGTAACCGGGACACTGGCAGCAGTGTAGTCCAGTAATGAGAGCCATCAATTTAGCAATGGACACTGTCAAAGCGGCAGTCACTTTGAGCTGTGTGTGTGTATTTGTGTGATTTGCCTGTCTGTGTGTACCTGCTCAGGTTGCCGGGCTTGTACCGGTCACTGCCAAGGAGGCAGCTAGTGGAAGAGGCAGCCAGAAAAACACATACACAAATGCGTGCACACATGAGCACCCACTGGCACCATATCTAAAGGGAAGTGACAGCAGTGGCAGTCAATGTGCCAGTGAGGCTCCTTCTCATTATCACTCTTTCCAAGACCTGTCTGTCTTGTCAGGGGTAGAGACTAGAGAGAAATACACACACACACACACACACACACACACACACACACACACACCAGTTTATTCACCGCTCTATTTGAGTTTCTTTTCATCTTTAACTGCCTCTGTCTTTTGTATTCTGCCTTCTCCTATTCGTTTCCATTCTCCTCGTTCTTTTTTAAGTTATAGTCTCAAAATGTTCTGCATGGCCCTGAAACTTCTTATTAGTCCACATTCTGGTGCAAGACTCATTAAAACTGATGAAAATAGAATTACAGGGTAGCGGTGGCGGGGCGGTGAGGGGTGTAGACGTTGGCTCGGAGGCAGAA